GTCACTGCCCCGACCCAGTGGCCCCAAAACATGAGCCAGCAAGCCACTGGCAGCCAGCCCTCCACCGCTCCCCCGGAGCAGTCTGCCAGCTCCCAGGAGCATGACAGGGGCTGGAGAAGGTGGACGCCTTCCTGGTCCCGGTTGGAGATCATGGACCTTATTCAGGTTTGGGGGGGATGCCCCCAACTTCCATGATCTGAGCCCTAGACGGAGGAACACGGCCGTCTATGGTAGGATAGCTGCCAGCCTGGCCACCAAAGGCCACATGAGAACCCAGGAGTGGGTTTGCATGAAAGTCAGGTTGGTCCAGCGAGACCCCCAACCCTGAGCCCTGAGCTTCCCCTCCCCCTTCTTCCACTTGCTTCCCCCTTCCAGTTCCCTCCTCCCAGGTTTCCCCCTCCCCTCTCTTCCCCTCTCCCACCTCCTATTCCCAGTCTCTCCAGAGGTCCATTCCCCCCAGTTTTGTTCAATCAACCCAGTTTCTATTTTTGAACATACGTGTCCTTTATTTGACATCAAGAAGGGGGGCTAGGGAGGGGTAAGTGGAAGGACGTGAGGGAGGAATGGGGTATGAGCCCCCAGTGGGGAGGACCGGGGAGACTTTGAGGGCTCCTCGTGGTGGACGCTCTCCCTCAGGGCCTCCTGGATCCTGACAGCCCCCCGATGGACCCCCTGGATGGCAGCCTGCAGCAAGTGCAGCTGAGCTGATGGCAACCACCCCACGAGATGCACCGGTGAGCCCAGGGGCAGCTCTGGCTCCATGTGGATGAGTGCTGTGGTGTCCTGAGTGTGAGCACTCAGGGCACTCCAAGCCAGGACTGCTTTGTTGTCCCGCATTGAGGTAGACAAGCAAGCGGGGAACCCTGAGAACTGTCTGTCTGGGGTGGGAGTCGGGTCCCTTTAAGCACAGAGCTCAGTTAGTCTCAGGCAGCAGACCCACACACTAAGTCCTAACCTGATGCCCTGCCAGCACTGGTTCCGGCCAGCCTTAACTTTGGTTCAGGGTCCACTCAGTGTGGACACGCTATTTCAAAATAGCAAAATGCTATTTTGAAATAGTTTTTGTTATAGATGTGTTATTTCGAATTAGCTTAATTCGAATGAACTATTTCGAATTAAGCCAGTTCGAAATAGTGCGGTGGTGAAGACACACCCTAAGAGAGACATCTAAACTAGGGATGTAAAATTTCAATTAGTTGATTAATCGAATAGTTTGCATTGACTATTTGATTAATTGATAAGGATGCTTCCACCTTTGAAGGGTAACAACAGCCCCTGGGCTGTTACTGCACGTCAGAGGTGAAAGTGCTGGGGGAGAATGGAGCCAGCAGTGGACTCCCCAGGAGGATGTTAAGAAGCCACATCCATGAAGCTGAGGGTGGGAAGGAGGGTGTCAGGTAGGCTGGTGAGGATGTGCATTGTGCGGCTCATAGGCCCCATTTCTCAGCCATCAGAGAAGAGTCCATTGTCTGACTCACAACTTTCACTCTGGCATTTCATTTCAGAAAGGGGAACTACACAAAAACGAGATTAGTTAAACAGAAATTAAAAGGAACAGTGACAAAAGTAAAATCTCTGCAAGCTGCAAGAAAACTTCCCAAAGACATCATAATAGAAGCCCCACTTAAATGTGCACCCCACATTAAAGAACACACTGTAAGGAAACCAAAAAATGTCACCGTGGCTTAACAACCAATTAAAGAAGCAGTGGCAGATAAAAAGGCACTGTTTAAAAAGTGGAAGGCAAATCCCAGTGAGAAATATAGAAAGGAACATAAACTCTATGGCTGTGTCTAGACTGGCCAGTTTTTCCGGAAAATCAGCCACTTTTCTGGAAAAACTTGCCAGCTATCTACACTGGCCGCTTGAATTTCCGGAAAAGCACTGACGATCTCATGTAAGATTGTCAGTGTTCTTGCGGAAATACTATGCTACTCCCGTTCAGGCAAAAATCCTTTTGCGCAAAAGTTTTGCGCAAAAGGGCCAGTGTAGACAGCTCAGATTTGTTTTCCGCAAAAAAGCTCCGATCGCGAAAATGGCGATCGGGGCTTTTTTGCGGAAAAGCGCGTCTAGATTGGCACAGATGCTTTTCCGCAAAAAGTGGTTTTGCGGAAAAGTATCCATGCTAATCTAGACGCTCTGTTCTGAAAATGCTTTTAATGGAAAACTTTTCTGTTAAAAGCATTTCCGGAAAATCATGCCAGTTTAGACGTAGCCTATGGGTTTGTCTACACAGCAAAGTTATTTCGAAATAACTTTACCAGAGTCTACACAGCCAAACCGCTATTTTGAAACTAATTTGAAATAGTGGAGGGCTTATTTCAAATTTGGTAAACCTCATTCCACGAGGAATAACGCCAAATTCAAAATAGCTAAATTGAATTAAGTGCTGTGTAAATGCTTATTTCGAAATAGGGGGCCTCCAGCCCTTCCCAGGGTGCCCTAGTGGGCCAAACCAGGAAAACTCTTCTGCTCCCCCCCAGTTCTGGAGCCCTTAAAGGGGTAGACTCTGGCCACAGTGCCTGTGCCAGCTGCAAGGCTGCCAGCACTCAGCCCTTCCCAGGGTGCCCTAGTGGGCCAAACCAGGAAAACTCTTCTGCTCCCCCCCAGTTCTGGAGCCCTTAAAGGGGTAGACTCTGGCCACAGTGCCTGTGCCAGCTGCAAGGCTGCCAGAACTGAGCCAGCAGTCGCTGCCCCTGGTCCACCATGAGCCAGCAACCCACTGGCACCCAGACTTCCACTGCTTCCCAGGAGCAGGCTGGCAGCTCCCAGGAGCCGGCCAAGGGCTGCAAAAGGCAGGCACCTTCCTGGTCCAGTGCAGAGATCATGGACCTGATGGAGGTTTGGGGGGAAGCCTCCAATGTCCATGATCTCCGCACTAGCCACAGGAACACGGCCGTCTACGGCCGATGCAGGAACGCGGCCGTCTACAGGCGGATGGCTGCCAGCCTGGCCACCAAAGACCACATGCGCACCCAGGAGCAGGTGCGCATGAAGATAAAGGAGCCACAGCAGGCCTATGCCAGGGCCACAGGGGACAGCTCCCAAACAGGGGCTGAGCCAGACCCCTGCCCCATTATGATGCCCTGGACCACATCCTGGGGGGGCAGATGGTCCAGGCTCCCCAGGTGGTCATCGACCCTGAGGCAGAGGGCCCTGACCAGGGCATGGAAGAAGAGGAGGAGGATGATGGCCAGGAGTCTCAGGAGCCTGGAGGAAGCATGGCATTCACCCAGGACTCCCAAGGCATCACAGCAGCCATGTCACCGGAAGGAAGGTTTCTTCACTCAATGTACAGTCAACCCATGGAACTCCTTGCCAGAGGATGTTGTGAAGACTAGGGCTATAACAGGGTTGAAAAAAGAGCTAGGAAGATTTATGGAGGTTGGGTCCATCAACGGCTGTTAGCCAGGATGGGTAGGAATAGTGTCCCTAGCCTCTGTTTCTCTGGGAACGGATGATGGGAGAGGGATCACATGAGGATGACCTGTTGTGTTCCCTCCTGCTGGGGCCTCTGGTATTGGCCACTGTCAGCAGACAGAATACTGAGCTAGATGGATCTTTGATCTGTCCCAGTGTGGCCGTTCTCATGTTCTTATGTAACTTTTAGATCTTGGAACATGTCTTTATATTCCCCAAGAAGATTCCTGTCCTTCAGGCCAGGGCCCTGCAGTGGCTGTGGGCTGGCAGCCCTTTTCCCTGTGCCGGGCCTTGTGGGCAGGGCAAGGTATCAGCTTTGACTGTGGGTGGACAGCAGCTCAGAGAGGTGGCAAGGCAGGATGCTGATCAGACATCAGGGTGGCCTCGGTAGCTCACAGGGAACGAATGAAACTTTCGCCCCCAGTGCCCAGGAGTGAAGCGGAACAGTGCAGCTGAGTCTAACACATGCAATGCATTTGTCCTTGGGTCACTACTTCTAAACGCTCTTTAAATGGGGCAAAACACTGCTGAGCAACCTGGTTAAAGATGGACTGAGCCACACAGAGGTACAGTGAATTCTCCAGGTTTCCACACAGCTCATTTTTCAGCCTTATCTTGCTTGTTAACCAGGTACGACACACTGTCTGGAATTCTGCACTGTGTATAGGGCCTGTTAAGGCTAATTCCTACTCTGTCACATTGAGTGCAAAAGGTGGAAACCCACAAGATACCTTAAAATACCTTTCTTTCAGAGGATTCTGTTTTAAAAACTCCTCAGTGTCACAGAATACCTGACCTTGGGAGACAGGTGGGGTGGGAGCCTTTCTTCTTGAACCTAGGAAAATTGATTCTTCCAGAGGGGTACCCCAAAGTCTTTTACCGCAAGAGAGCTTGACATGAAAAAAAGGAAAACAAACTGTAATTTCTGATAGCTGACCTCCCAGTCTCCGTCAAGGGTATCCAATTACGATCCAGGACACAAGAATCAGATCATAAGCTTTAAAAAGGCGATTTTATTAACAAAACAAAAAGCTACTTGGTTGCTAAATGTAATAGACCAACTGA